TGTGAGAGAGATAACAGGAGCGTGGGGGCTTGGTGGCATTCTAGATAGGAGAATACAATCCAAACACACAGACAAAAGGCCGAACGGGAAGGCTGCTGGTGGTTTGCTCTGGGAAATGAGGGTTTTAAGGCACCTCGTCGAAAGGATTAAGAGGAAGGGTTCAGGCACTGGGGACCCGCAGAAGGAATTATCTTTCAAGAGAATGCATAGAGGTGGGGAAGGGAGAGTTCCATATGGACAGAGTCCAAGCCCACACATCAAACAAAATGGCAGGCAAGATCTCAGGCACATTTTTCACAGGTTAAAGACTCTAAGATGCCCTGACAGACATCGGCTCTCAGCTGCAGAAGGCAGTCCCCTATGCAGTCACGGGGCAGCCAGTGTGCCATGGGAGACTTTGCCTTAGACCTGGAATGCAGCCCGAGTCTCTCAGTGGTCTAAGACACAGGTCTGGGCCAGGCCAGCCCAGCCCAACGTTACCAGAATAAACAAGGGTCTTTGCTCACATCAGCCCCTCTACTTAAAAAGCCAAGTCCCTGATGCAAAATCTCTCTTGTCTCTACTTTAGGGCACCTGCCCGTGAGGCCCTTTTGTATATAAACTCTCTTCCTTCATCTCTTTGGGACCGTCAGGTATGAGCGTCTAGCCCAAATTAAAGCCACCCATGTGCATGCTGTTCCTTTCATCCAGCCCATGGCCTCCACTACAGGGTTTTAACATTGATGCCGAGCTCTATGTACCCTCCTAAATCTGCAGCCATCTAAATCTGCCAAGGAATGAGCATTTAAAATAGCACGGAAGACCCTTCCCAACATCCCCTCGGACACAAAGGACCTGGGAATTTAAGAAAAGCAGAAAAGGGAGACAACAAAGGTCCAAACCCAGGGCCCCCCCTTCTATGTGCCCCGGACCCCAGAGGCTCTCTGCATTGTGTTTTCCATCTCTGTTTTGGATTGTGCCTATGTTTAATCCCTCGAGGGGCGGCCATTATTTTCCGCCAGGTTTCAAGGGGTTTGAAGATCATCTCATATTTCTCTGTTTGGCAAATAGTCAGTCCCCTGCCTCCCACTCCAGGAATCATGAATCCCAGAAATTAAAGCCAGTGGGAATCGGGTTTCTTTCTAGGGAGGGGCCCGGCCACTAAGCAGATGCCAGTCGAGGCCAGGACATCCAGCCAGGAGTTGGGCACGTAAGGCCCTGGATTTTTCTGGGAGGGGAAGCAAGGTAAAAAGAATGGAAACAATGCCTTGATCCACAGAAGACAGACTCAGACACCTGTCTGGAGCCGAGAATCCTTTCTTTTCTCTCTGTGTGTTACAAGCCAGCAAGGAGCAGAGGCAGCCGCCATGGCGCGCTCCACTGCGAGCATGCTTCTCTTTGAAGGGAAGGACACAGGTGACAGAATGTCCTCCAGTAGAGAAAGGGCAGGAAGGAGGGAGTCCCTACTGAGGGAAGCAAGGCCCCAGCCCAGATGCCAGCAGACAGGAGACAGGCGCTATAGGGAACGTGTGAAGGAGCTAGGCTTCCACACGGAGGCTTGGGGTGGCAGGCTATGCTTACAGCAAGAGCAGGGCTGACACCTGAATCGTGCTGGCTTCCCCCTGGAGAACGCTTTAATGAGGTTCACAGCTGTAATATCACAGAACGAGCATTAACAATGCTAATTACCTAAAGTTTAGCCAGAGAACATTCTCAACCCACCCACCTTAGGGACACACTTTTGTTCTGGCTCTGCCAGGCTGGGTTTTACCAGGAATCTGTGACAGGAGAGCACTGGAGTGGGACAGGATGGGGGTGGGCGGGCCAGTGAGCACTGCAAGAGAGGACCAAGTCACCTCCCCCGGGGGTGACTTGTGTGTCCTGTGTCCTGCTGCTCTACTCAAGAGAAACCCAAAGAAAGAAGCCTGGTGGAGATTGCATCCCCCTTGGAGAGAGCTGGGAATGGATGGATTTAATCTATATGCACCTGGCAGACATTGGGGCCCCGTCTCATCAACATGTCGTCTTCTGCAACCTCAGAGGACACCCCTGTGCCTCTCCAACTATCCAGTCCAAAGATGGTTTTAAATTGTTACATGGCCCTTTGTTCTTTCCTCTGCAACGTAGCCACCAATATGGCACAGAGCCACTCAGAGCTGTGCTGGCTAAGAGTGTGAGTCGAAGTCTGAGGTTGGGGGACGTTCTTTCCTCCCCTCTCCCCCAGAGCATCTGGGAATCACTCAAACCCATTCTAGACTCCCAGGACTCTGAAGAATGGATTTAGATCAGCTTAAGCCTCAGGCATCCCATCTCAAGGGACTCCATGGAAGACAAGTTTGTCCTCTGCTCCCAGAGGGCCTTTGACTCAGGTGAACTCTGGGGACTGGAAGATAGGCGTGGTTAATGTGTGTATATACACCTCGATCTGCTTGATTCTACCCAAACCTGCCTGAATCTAGGGCTGGATTTACTGAACTCCGTACCTGTGTCTGTAGAAGTCAAAAGCCGACTGGACACAAGATGTGGGATTGCCTACTTCTCTCCAGTGTCCTTTCTGCTGACCCAGGGAGGGAAAATCGCTGCACGACTCTACCCCTTAGACTGTCCCAGTCAGGGTATGGCAACACCAATATCCTATCCATGGTTCTCTCTCTTTAGACCTCTCCCCAACAATCACCGTCACCACGCCATGCCTTTTCCTCTTCAGAATGACCAAGCAGAGGGGATCCGGTCTGTTTAGAAAGCTTTAACACCATGTGCAGCCCTCTGCCTTCTCTCCCCTTCATCCCTTTAACTTCCTAGAACAGTGGCTCTCAACCTTCCGAAAGCTGCGACCTTTTAATACAGTGCATGTTGTGGTGACCCCTCCCAACCATAAAAGTCCTTTTGTTGCTACTTCATAACTGTAATCTTGTGCTGTTAAGAATCATAATGTAAATATGTGTTTCCCGATGGTCTTTGGTGACCCCTGTAAAGGGGTCATCCAACCCACAAGTTGAGAACCACCATTCTAGAACCTCCTATGGCTTCTTTGCTTTACTTATTCATGATTCAAAGTACAACTTGTTTTGTAAAGCTTGCTCTATGCCCCTCATTCACTGATTGCTGTGGGTTCTACCTTCAGGAGTCCAAATTCCCCCATCAAAGGCTCACCTGCAAAAGGGTTGCTTGACCCCAAAGGGCTTACAACCCACAGGTTGGGAAACGTCGTCTTAGAGCAACACAGGTTTCTGGTCCGTGTTTGTAACTTTTCTAGATCTGGCAGACCGGAGCCCATGTATTACCTCCTCCAAAGCCCTGTCTCAACAGTCAGTGGGATAGACTATCTCAGTCCAGATAGGCTGTTGTAACAAAAAAGACTGGGGGAGGAGGGACTGTAAACAATGGAATTTGTTCTAGAGGCTGGACAGTTCAAGATCAGGGCATCAGAAGATCTGGTGTCTTGCTAGGATCCCACTCCGCATAGATAGCCTTCACCGTCCTCTATCCCCCTATGGAGTCCCTCTTGAGCATCCTTGAGAGGGGCACTCATCCCATCAGGAGGGCTTTGCCTCTGTAACCTAGTCACCTCCCACTTCCTAGTACCATGACTGAGTGGGGAAATCAGTATTTTAGGGAGGCACAGCATTCAAAGCACAGCAAACTGGGATGCAGCACTCGTGTCCCTGGGGTTAGAGCAGAAACATGCATAGCCCTCCACGCAGACAAAAGCCAGCACATGAGTGTGTGTGTGTGATCTTTTCCCGCCTGGACTTTGTTTTGAGCCCAAGTCCCCACGGTGCTGGAATCAGCATTTTAACTGCAAGCTCAGCTATCACCTGAGGCACTTTGGGTGAAGGCCTGGCCTTTCTCCTCTTGCCCCTGGATGTGGACACCCTCCCTCTCTAGGGAAGACTTGCCAGCCTGCTCAGTGGCCTGTATCTACAGCAACAATCAATGGCTCCTCTGCTGAACCAGCAGGCCCTCACTGTGCTGAGAAACTCGGAGGCTGAAGGCAAGAACATGGCTCCCACTGCTGCACCAAGCTGTGCACCCGACTGTAGTGCACCTAATTCTTCCTGAGGCAGGCGAGCACGTGATTCCTGCTAACAACAGGCTGACTGAGACCGTCCTTTTAGCCTCCTTGGTGACCCTTGGAACTGGCTCCAGACCCACTGTATTCTGTCTTTTGCCAGACTCCGGGACAAGACTGTCAGCCTCAGGAGGGGCCTTGTTTTGTCCTCTTAGCTGTGTCCCTAGAGCCCAGCTCACAGTTGAGGTTTGACTTCCTATTTGTTCATATTTAATTTAGTTGTGGAAGACTGGCTCTTCACTTGAAGTCTTGGGAAACTACTTCCTGTGTGGACCAGGAGTCCCGCTGCCGCAGCAGGAGATAAGCAGATTCTGGCCCTTCTCTGGGCAGGTGCTTCTTGTGCAAGGTCTCTCTCTGGCTCCCTGCCTGCCACAGCCATCAGTGCCTCTTCTGGAAGGCAGTTTCCAGCCCTAGGAGGGAGGAACAATTGGTTCAGCTGGCTTCAGCAGGGTCCTGACCTGGGGCCTCTCTCTCCCTCACCATGTTTCCAACATCTTCAGTGAATCACCTCTGAGTCATTGACCTCCCTCTCCCCAAAATTCCAGTGGGCTCCCTTCAGCATGCCCTGTGACCTCTCAAAGGAGCCTTCTGAACATGAGCAAGTGAGCCTCTGCAAATGAAACTACTGGTTGTGCCCTGAAAATTACACTGCCTGCTGTGCCCATGAAAGCTGCCTTGACCTTGGCTTGTATGTGATGGGGTCAGAATCCCGTCACCCACCGGCAACAACTGAGACCTGGAATAATTCATTGTGCTTCTCTGAAACCTGGCGTGTGCGTGTGTGTGTGTGTGTGTGTGTGTGTGTGTGTGTGTGTGTGTGTGTGTGTGTGTGCATGCGCACTCACTCTGCACACACACACAATGCAGCCCCTGTACATCCCAATGTTTGTAAGTTATGCTTTGTGATGGGCCTTTTAAAGATGGGAAAAAAAATAACCAAGAGTTTCTGAGAGGTCTAAAGCTTTTATTTGTTTACACATTCTCTAAACTGCAGACAAAAGGTTTGCTACATGGATAGTCAACACTGCTAATCAGTCACAGAACAAGATACTAACCACAGCAAGGAGAGGCAGGGGGCTGTGGCTCAGTCTTTACCAACGTGCAGGGGTCCTCTGAGGGGCTGGGATATCCAGTGATTCTGAGGTAAAGGCTGCTAGATACTCATATGCTTAGCCATTTGCTCAGGTTCTGACGTCTCCAAGGCCTCCCTCCTGAGTCAGGGCAGGAGGAAAGACAGGGAGGGGGAGGGCCCTGGCACATAGGCAGTCCTTCCAGACAGCCGGCTTTCCAGGTAAGCCCCAGTCAGAGAGTTAAATCCAGATATGGGCGAATTCCAACCTTCAGATTCTCTTGGAGCTCCTTGCAATGTGCCAGCTCTCTAGGGAGTCAGAACCAGTATGTGTCCTTGGGGTAAGGGAAGATAAGCACGGCCTCCTTTCCAATACTGAAATACCAAGAGATCCCATACATCCCTTAGGCAGGGTGGGGACAGCACAGCACCTTTCACGATGGGAGTCACAAGACCAAGACTTGATACATGGGAGAAAAAAGCATCCCCAGAGGACGGAAGGACAGGGGCACACACAGCTATACATGTGCAGTCCCAACACACCTGGAAGAGGGGGGAGGCGGTGGAGCTGGGGTTGGCCGGCCTTCCTGTCTGTTTGTTGCTGTGCTTGCTCTTCAAAGCAGCAAAGCAAGCTGGATGGAAATTCATCTTCGGCCCATTACACCCAGCTTCCCAAATCGGCAGCCCTTTTCTGTAACCTCGTGGAAGCTGTGCCAGCCCACATCCTGTGCACCGGAGCTAAGCAGCTCAAGGCAAAAAAAACTCTAGGTTGTTCAGTCAGCAAGAGGCAGCGTGGTGCTGGGTCCCAAGGTCCAGTGGGGAAAAAATGTTCAAAGGCATAAAAGGAAGATCTTCATTCGCAGAGATTGCCAGTGATGGAGGCCGACGCTCTTGGCCATCCTTGTGTGATGAAGATCCTCAAGGCGCTGAGGGAGTGGTGAGTGAGAGATAAGCAAGCTTGCAGCAATACGGAGGAGGATAAAGTGCCCGGATGGCGTCTCTCCCTTGTGCCCACTGGAAGAAGTGTGTATCACACCTCAGCCAGGTCAATAGGTACCAGTGGAGATCCCATGATTCCCGAGGTCACGAGACCATCACCAGGGACTGAGAACCCTTTCCCAAATGCAACCCAAAGCAGTCTAGGGTGGTAATCCCCAAGGCTGCAAGACGTCCAGGGTCAGCTCAGATACTAACAGAGACACGAAGACTTAAACCAGCTCTTTCCCAAATGCCTCACATTCCTGACTTAACTCAAGACCTCCGTGGATCTCTGGAAGCCCATGTAGCTATGAGATTCCTCACAAGACATCTTTCTCTCAAATCCTTCCCACCCTACGGACCTCCTGCCCAAGCTCACTCAGGAAAACCCTTACCAAAGCCACCGAGCCAGCCTTTCCCCGATGGGAGACACAGTGGGGATTAGCCAACCAGAAGAAGAAAATCAATTCTGTGTATCTTCCCGTGGAGATCTTCCACATCTTAGCTATCAGGGATAAAGTGTTATTTGAAACTGGGCCTTAAGGTTGTCCTCAGCCTAAACACATGTAGGGCAGGGAGGAGACACTGGGTAGGACGTAGTTCTGGCCCCTTCTCAAATGGACTGTCACGTGCACAGGCCAGTCACTCCTCAGATTTGCATTTGCTAACTGTCCAGCAGGCCAGCCTCAGGATAGGAAGGGGTCTGAGAACACTAGAGTGGAGATGGGGAGAGGGGGTCCTCTCAGAGCTTGGTCCACTAGCTCTGGGGATCCCAGGTCCATTGTGAATTCAGGGGCAGGGAGCTCATAGTCTGCTGCCAGCTGCCTGAGGCCTGTGCCACCAGTCTGGCTTGGACAGGATCCAGGTGGGTGGCCTTCCCTCATGCTTCCATACTACGCTATCACTAAGGACAGTGAGGAGCTAATGATTCAAAGGAGATGTGGACCAAAAGAACCCTGCCTGGCAGCTTTCAAATGGCTCAAACTCCAGTATGTGTTTCTTGTTCTCTGGCACTTTAAAATCAGATTCACAGCCAAGCTTCATTCTGGCTGTCCCTAGGGACCCCACAGTCCCTCCTACTGAGGGCTGTGTCCTCCCAGGGTCCAGAAGAGCCTTCTCTAAGACCATCAACAGCTAAACCTACAGTTGCTTGTGAACAGGCCTCCCCCAAGGTGAGCATTTAGCTGGCAAACAAGCCTGGTGTGACTCCTTGGGGGAATATCTGAAAGCTAAAACCTGGTTGTGACACGTGCAGAAAGAGGGGGAGAGGAAAGAAATTCTTTGTCCCCAGCGCTGTCAATATCGACAAGTTGGAGTCAATGAAGCCTGAGCTAGGATGTGAAGAGCCGCTGGCCAGGTGTACTGGAAATGCCTGATGCTGGGCCGTATCCACATAAGCCAGCTAGACCCTAACAGAAACTGGTCCCTAGAGGCTGAGCCCAAGCCAGCAGGGCTTCAGTGGGTGTCCACTCAACTCAGGCATGAGCCAGTTAATTCTCACTACTGATCATACCCTGCCAATTACATCTCCCTGACCTTCACTCCAGAAATCCAAAGATAGCATTTGGAGCTATAACCTCAGATTCCATGACTGTCTGACACACTTCAGCGAGGTACCCCCATTCCTCATCTCCCTGACTCTGATGCTAAAGACGAATACTTTCCATGGCATCTCTGAGCTAAGGATATGTATCTTCTATGGCAGCTAGTGTTCGGGATAACAAATCAAAACAAGGAGGCTGGGACCAGTTGTGTTCTCCCTAACTTCCAGAAGGTGGAAATAACCAGATGTTTCTACCTGCTCATCATATGAACATATGTGCAAAACAGAAATTAACATACATACGTATAACCAACCCTTTCCTGGTGGTAGGATATTTAACAGGAGTTCCAGGAATATTTTTACGTTTACAGCCGATAATGTAATCCAAAGGCTGGGCAAGGGTGAGGTTGTTTTTCCAGCCCCTGCAGACCAAGTCCATTGCTCTGCGCATATCCAGCCCCCTGCCAAGTGCCTCAGCCGGTACCAGCTTGCCCAGCGCTCGCTCTTGGCAGGCAAGAGATGTGTTCATCTGCCTCCAGGGAGAAAAGTAACCAGGGTGGACAAGCATGGAGGACACAGCAGCAGCTAGGCTGGACATCCTTTCCCTTGCCTGACAGGGGAGCACAAATGCTTCTAAGCACTTGACCATTTGTTCCAAAAGCACGATTCGCCTGCTTCCCCCAAATGCCACGTGGACCTGACACACTGGCAAGCTAGGGCTCCCTGCTGACCCAACCCACCTGCTCCACATCATCTCTGCCCCGAGATTCTGTTTTCATGCTTCACTCCTATATTATCCGGCCATGTTTCTTTTGCTTTATTTCCCCCAGTCCTTAATTTAGACTTCTTCAACTACATGTTGAAAACGCACAGGGGTGTATTTTTCTTTCATGCTGCTGTTTCTTCCAGCCACCACGGCACTCTTTAGCATTTGCATGGCTAGAGGGAACACAGGGCAAGGGCAGAGGAGGGAGGAGGCAGGAGAGGAGGAGAACGGAGGTCACCGGAGGTCACCGTGGGGAATGAACAAGAAAGGGCAGGCAAAGTCAAGAGCGACCCAGGCCTAATTCCAGCCATACTGTCTTTGCACCGTTTTCATTACATAGTTGAGGCTTCCTCTTCTTCTCAAATCCTCGCTGTGTCTCCCAAATAGGCAGAGGTGGGGGAGGGGCAAGGTGGGAAGGGCCAAGAGCATCCCTCTGTGGGAATCTAGTGGTTGTTTAGACTGGGCACTGGAGTCTCTGGCTGTGGAAAACCTCTGGGACAGTTAAGGGACATCTTACCTGGTTGCTCCTGGCTCTCCCACTGCTCTTGGATCAACACCAATGGCTTTCTTCGGGTCAACACACACACACACACACACACACACACACACACACACACACACACACACACACACCCTGCTCTCGTTATCAATATTAATAATAGCAACACAACAATAGAGATGAAGAAAGGCAAGCTAACAAGATAGAGTGAGTGGAAACGGTGGCTGGGATTTCTCGAAGCTGCCTGCTGAGGGATACAAAGGCCCCAGGGCCTCATGGGTCTTCTCTGTTTCCTACAATGTCCCTTCCCAGCTCCAGCTCTTAGATTTGCCAGACCCAGTGGGTGCCAACCTGAATGGCCATCTTATTTGCTTCCAGGCTAGAGGTCATTATTAGTAATTGTATCTCTATGGAAGAGGCTTCTGGCTGCCTGCCAGCCCAATACTGCCTTCCTCTACCATGCCCTGGGAAATGTCACCATCAGCACAAATGCTCCTGTTCATGGTGAGGCCCAAGATGGGGAAACTGTGGAGCATTCCTTGTTTAAGGTTGCTGGCTCCTCCACCTGAGGCTGCCATAGACTCCAACAGGGCACCCCTGTACCCCCTGGCCCTATGACACCCCTCACAGCTTCACAGATGCCGAGGATCACTTTTGATCAGTCAGGAGACATAGCCAGAGCCCACTCAGAACCCAGAGGAATCTAAGACACCCTGCTCCGGGCTTCCAGGTTTTTCTCCTCACAGGGAGAAGTTTCTGTCTCTTCTGAGAGATGAATTTGATGTAGAAATGGCAAAACAGGAGCCTCCCTCCCCTACTTCAGGGCTTCCTGAAGTTACTTCCTATGGGCCCCTCTCCTACAGCCCAGTTTGAACAGCCTGGCAGTTGAGCCTTCCCAGCAGCAACCGATATGATGCTCAAAGGGCCCATTCTGTTCATCTTCCTGCATCCTCCTCTCTCTCTTCCCTCTGACCTACTGCAGATTTCCCAGTCCCCTACCCCCTGTCCCTCCAAACACCAGAGGGTCCCCAGCCTCATTAGAAAGACATTTCCAGCTCTCAATCCATCCATCCTGCTGTTTCCACCCTCAAGGCAGGCAACCATGGCCTCGGAAAGAGGATCCTAGAGACCCCAAGCCCTGAGAATGCTGGGGAATGGGAAAGGAACCCAACTCACAGATGACCTCAATGGCAGTTGGGGCTGCAGTGGGGAGACTTGTGGATTCGGGACAAATAAAAAATATGAAGTCCTCCCCATTCCTCAGCGGTGACACAGATAAAGCTGAGCTAAGGTCCAAATGGGCAGCAGACAGTGGGGGACAGGGAGGTAGAGGCAAGGCTGTCTGTCCTGCCAGGTGGTAGGCAAAAGGCTGGCCCGGCCCTCCTGCTTCCCTTTCCAACTGCTAGAGTCGGGACCTGTGGGCCCAAGCCCTGCAGCAGCAAAGCCTGAAATTGCGGCCGTGCCCAAGGCTGGAGGCTAGCACCACGCTCACTCTGCTACCATCTGTCACTTGGCCCCAGCCAACCTAGACCAGAGGGGCCTCAGCAGCTGACGTCCGAATGTTACAAGGACACTCATTTGTGGGAGTGGGAAAATCCATGCGGACTCAGGCCAGAGCCTGGGGGTCCTTCCTAGTTCCACTGGGTGAGGGGCACCAGTCCCACCCTCCTTGCCCTTCGATGGCCCCCTTAACCAACATGGATCCAGAGTCCAGGGGGCCCAGAGAAAGGAGAGCTGGCTTTTGTCCACAACCAGGCCAAGGTCTGGCTTTTGTTTCTTTTTTTCAAACAATTTTGTTTTCCAGGACCAAAGGACTGAGGGAAAAGCGTGTTCTGATAATTGTTCACTCCCCTGTCCTGGCCCTTTGCTTACAGCCCCCTCTAGTACACTCTCACCCCTACTCAAGGCTCCTTCCCCTCTCTTCTCTTTGTTAGGTTTTGCCTGGCTTCCTCACTAACCCCTGACTCCCCTTCCCAACTCCAACTCAGGAATGCTGGCCTACTGAAAGGACACCAGTGTTCTACTCCTGCCTGAGCCAGGCCTGGGACCCAAACACTTCCAGTGGTAATGTGGGCATGACTGTGGCCTGGGAGCCAACTTCACCCTTTGGGATTTGGGGATTCCCTAAGGATGGACATTAGTGAACAGGAGGAGAGAGAAGTCTCACCTCAGCACTCCCAAACCCAGTGGCAGAGGGCAGGCCAGGAGGTTCTCAGGACCCTGCCTGGGCCACTGGCCAAGCAAGGCTGCCTCACACTTGCAGCTGGGAGAGGAAACCACGGCCCTCTTCCATGCTTGCTGCAGCCTGGCTGCCGATGATCTTTTCTTCTACCCACAGCAGAACGTAGGCTTCCTGAACTTGAAAAGTAACAATGATTGTTTTCTTCCTTAGAATACCTGGGCTTTTTAAAAGGAGGGCTGGAAGGAATTGTTCTTGAAGACTAAAGTCTACCATGAGTGGTACCCAGACTCCTCCCCCAGACCCTGCAAAGCCTCCCCCAACCTTCCCTGCAGAAGTGATCCTCTCCTCTCTCTCTCTCTCTCTCTCTCTCTCTCTCTCTCTCTCTCTCTCTCTCTCTCTCTCTCTCTCTCTCTCTCTCTCTCTCTCTCTCAGCTATCCACAGGAGGGCCTCTCAGGCTGAGCCCAGGGAAGCAGCTGCTCTCTCCACCTAGCCTGGGCTTCCTAGCTGGCCCGGAGGCAAACACATACCGCAGAGTCTAGGGACCTGCCGGTGGCTTCTGCCTCAGGAGGGGTTGAGAAAGATGACAGGAATGTCCGTTCTCATCAGGAGCACCATTCCTGTTCCTACACCAGGTTGCCTGTCCTGGATCTGCTGCAGGCCCCAGATGCAGGGTCTCAAAAGTGTCTAGACGGAAATAAGAGTTTATTTTCCGGCAGGAACCCTTCAGCCACCATATAAGGATAGAAGGCTGGAGAACGCTATAACCCTGGCGGGGATTAGAGGGGGACTCAACAGCATCATTCTTTCCCCTCAGTGACCTCTGCACAGAATGACAGTGGCTACCACAGGCGGGAGGCCCTCTTTTTAGCAAGGCCTACACCAAGATACTTATCAGCATTACTCTGCTATCCCTGCTAGATTTCTAAACAGGCCATGTTTCTCTACCTCACACACATGCGCAGTGAGGCTCAGAGAGGCAAAGCCACTTGGCCAGAGTTAACCAGCTAGAAAGTGACGCTACATTTAAACAAGAACATAGTGCCCTCTGCAGAAGTTGGCTCCCACTCCCAGTGGTTAATCATGCTGGTGTGTGTGTGTGTGTGTGTGTGTGTGTGTGTGTGTGTGTGTGTGTGTATTTCTGTCTGTCCGCATGCACATGCATTTATAGTATCTTCATCCTCAAGTCCCCAGCCTCTGAACACTTCCCATTACCACCCATGCCCAATCCTGGTCTCCATGGCCACAGCCCTGGCTTAGGAGCCCTGACCACAGATAACCTAGCCCTTGGCGTGTAAACCTCCTTCCATTAAAAGGAAGTTTCCAAGAAGGTCTCTAGCTTTGGCTAGAATCCACAAGAAGGTGGCTTCAGAAAGCATTTGGAGTTCCTACAGACAAGCTGGGCTCTGGTGATGGTTGTTTATATAACATTATACTTTGGGCCCCTCCCAATGTCACTGTGGAATAGAAAAGGCAAGTGTCAGCATTTCCATTTTACAGATGGGCAAACTGAGATTTGAGGATGCTAAGTGATTTGTCCAAGGTCATACACTACTCGGGTAGAGGGGACATTCGAACCCTGAACCAGTGATTCCCGCGCTCAGAGAAAGTGGATACCAATTTTACTTTACCAGCACCTTCTTTTTCCCACACAGGAGGTGGCTCTGTCACACCCTGACAGGGCATCTCACAAGCTGATCTGCTCTCCCCACTTTCTGCATGGGGAACCACACTGAAGCCTCCGAAACAGAAAGGCTGAGCCCATTTTGCAGGACTTAGTGAAACAGAAGGGAACCCTAAGCGCCTTCCTTATGTCACCCAGAGCTCAGCTAACCCCAGCACTGTGGGCAAGCTCCAGCTGGTGCCTTGACTTGGCTAGGGAAGCCTGTTCCCCCTCAGCTTGGGTGGGCAGAGCAAGCATGGCTGGATATAGAACAGGGAGCACCCCCACCCCATCTGCATGTCTATAAAGAACGGACTCATGCACACCCCAGAAGGGGACCTGTCAGGTCTCAGAGCCACAGTTTGGGGTTTTGGACTTGTTTTTTCCCACTTTTAAGCCAGTGTAGCATTCCAGAACATTTGGACCTTTTTCCCCCCCTAAATTTAATTTAAAACAAATGCCCAACCAAATAATTAGCCATTGAGGAGATCCTGCTTTAGGTTTTGTGGGAAGAGAGAGTAAGCCAGCAGAGTCTAGGGAGGAGATGTGCCACTCTGTGGAGATGGGCTATCCCTGCAGCCCTTCCCTGGGCCTTTAGAATCCACACAGGCTCAGCAACCAGCAGGAGGAAGAAGAGAGCTTGTGAGGAAGGCAGAAATGCTGTCTGGACAGGGGCCCTTTAAATGAGATTATTATGTATGCATGTAACTAGCTCTGAGGCCACAGGGCCTGCAGGAGAGTGACCCCCACTCTCTTGCCACAGGTCACTCTGCAAAGGAGTTGGGGGGAGGGCACACCACTTGGCTCCATGCCAGGCTGCCCTGGGTCCAGGTGCCAAGAGCAATTAGCCAGGGGGAGGACGACTCCTGCGGAGTGGCGGAGGCAGAGGCAAGCCTGCATCTGGGCAGAGTGGCCCAACTAGCCCAGGTCTCCAGGGGCTTCTTCAGGAGCTGAAGACTAAAAATAACTCAGGCCTTTGTTGCAAGCTGCTGGACCACGGCGGCGACGGAGCTGATTTCAGGGAAGCAGAGCATGCGCGAGGGTCCTGCTCACTGAGACCTGCCCTTTGGGCAAATGATTTTTTTTCTAGAAATATGTCAATCATCATGCTGTTGCTGTGATTCAAAGACAGCCCAACCCACGCCAGCCCACAAGGCTGTCATCCGACACACAGAGTTCTCGGAATCTAGGCCTCCCTACCTCTTTCTCTGGAAACTTTCTTATTTCAAACGGGAGTCCAGCTCATAGCGGGGGAGCTTAAGGTACAAGGTGAGGGTTCTGAATCATGGCCACCTCGTCACAAGTAATCACCACACTCAATGATCTAGTTAAGTAATGATCCTCTCTCCTCCATTCTGAAGTTTCCAGTCACGTCACAGTAGTCACTGGCAAACACATACTCCACAGAAGGCGGAAATTGCCCGGGAAAGGAATTCATAGTGTAGCATTAACACTGAAGGGTTTCTCAAAGCTACACACTCTTTCCTCCAACATCAGACCATTGAATGGGCAGCCTTTGCCCACCTCTCTGATGCTTGACTCCCACCAGCGGAAATTGAGCCAGGCCTTGACACTCAATTCAGTCGGGAGGCACCGGGAATCTTCAGCACTTTTCTGTGTTTGTAAACTGTGGTTTGTCTCACCTCAAGGACACCACAGTCCTGAAGGTCAAAGAACAACTGGGTCCCTTGCCAAGTCTCTCTTGATGAACAGCAAATACTAACTGGTTATGCTGGAGTCCCAATTTTTCCTCCCATCTCTCGGACCCTCTCCACCCCTCATCAAATGGTGGTGCAGTGGATCAAAACCATCCCAGCTGAGGTTTGAAAACTGCAACTCTTCTTAAACAAGAGGTTTCCAAGCTCCATCTTCAAGATGGCCTCCAAACGTAGACATTTCCAGGGAAGCTTGTAATAAGTGACAACTTCTCCACAGCATTTTGTTCCTCTGTGAAAATTTAGGATGAAGAGCCTAAGCTAAGGGTGAAGAGGCTGTGTGAAGGGATCTTGAAACACAATAGGTTTAAAACACACACACACACACACACACACACACACACACACACACACACACCATCAACACACAAGTGATTGGTGAGCAGTCACAAAATGGCTTCCGCTAAAATGAGAAGCAATGAGAGGGATGCACTGTGAGGGTGAATGTGAAGAAGATTCCACAGGGCTGGGGCTGGATTGTTCTTCCAAAGTGCAAGCTCCCTCTGGTAGAAATGAGGAAGGACTGGCTGAAGTACCACGTGTGAGGCTGGAGGTCACAGGCAGGGCGGTAGGTGAGTAGAGACCTTGCCCTCTCGGTTCCACATGTCCATGCCCTTCTGTAACTATTCATTTTCCTTACAGTTGGTCTGTGTGAATATGCGGGAGGAGAGCTCCATCTGGATCAAACAGGACTCCAGTTCAGCCTCTCTGGTGGCATGTCACATTCTGTGACCTGAGGCCCTAGGCCTGACAGCCAAAGGCTGAGGCTTTCTCTTTGAGCAGCTCCCAGCATAAATGGCAGCTCCAGCTTCCTGTAAGAGACAATATAGCATTAGCAGCAGCCCTTCTCCCAACTGTTGGGCCCCAGCCTAATGACTTTAACGTCTGATAACGCCTATTTGCCTTTGACTTCCATAATTCAGAGACCAGGTCTCAGTCCTGAAGGCGTGTGACGTCCACTGCTCAGTGCAAAGTGAATGCTCAGAGATATCAGAACTATATAAAGAGCCCCATCCCTTTGTCACACCTCTTAGCCATCCTTGGTACACCTGTACTAGTTCCCTTGGAAAGTCACACCTCACCACTGTTGCAACCACCCATCTGAGAAACACCTCCCATGCCTCAGTTTCCCCATATGTCATTTGTGAAGTTACACCTAACCTCACAGGACTATGATGATTAAATGAGACAAACCATGAAAATCCCTTAGCACAAGGCCTGCACCATAGTAAAGGATCAGTAAGGGGTAGGCGTGGTAGCTGTTGTTATTGTTCAGTTCATCATCATCATTACCTTCTGGGGGCTCGGCCACTGGGGGATTTAAACAGTACATGTGATAACCACGGTCACAGTCATCGCAGAAGAGTAGCTGGTCCTGGCAGATACAAAAGGGGTAAAGTGGGGAGGAAAGAGATGTCATTACTCAAGGACAGTGTCTCCCCCCAACTTATTCCTCTATTCTTATTTCCATAAATCAACTTTCCAGGCTCCATTTGGGGTCCTCACTGTCCCTTAAACATAGCTTATACTTTATCAACATCTGAAAATTGCCCTCTGACTCCCCAATTATACAAATCCTTCATCACCTTAGGGTTCTTCTCAACTCATTATCTTAGAAGTCTTCCCTGATGGCTACCTTACACTTAGGCTCACAGAAATTCCTTGTCCTGGACTCCCATGGCCAGTGATGCTGTGGATTTCTCTGACCCCCACCCCATGGCAATGACCTAATAATACACGGATTAGATTTCCGCTCTTCCCATCTGTGCACTGGGCAACAGCTGAACTGGGTGATAATATCCATTGCGTCTCAGAGCTCCTTCAGGATTTCAATGTAGGTGTTAAGAAAAAAACCTCTTCCCCGGCTGGAGGCTGGAGCCCAGCGGGAAGCAAGAGATTGGTTGGTTCTAGAAGGAGAAGCTAGGTGAAGGATTCTAAGAAACTGAAGTAAGGCCGTGGCAGGGCAATGAGGAAGCAGTCACTGACTGGTGTAGTTGCCTGGGCTGTGGCATAGTTAGCCACTGAGACACAGCCAGGAAAGAGGACATTGGGGTAGGAGAGAGAGGACAGCCTCAACTGGAGATCCAAGGTCACCAGGGGGCTGGAGGCTGTCCTGGAGGCTGGAGATTAGGACAGAGGTCTGGGCCCAAGATATGGATTTGGAAGTCGCTGGTAATAAGTTGGCAAGTGGAGGTCCTAGGAGAGAAAGTTCAGAGTGTATGACAGCAGACGCCTCTGAAATGGTTTTCATGGAGGGCTGTCCCTGAAATGATACACACAGTTTTGAATACAGGTAGAAATGGGTATTTTGAGAAAATGTGTATTTCTGAAAATAGAGTGAATCCATGGCTTTCACGGAAGTCTCTGAAGTCTTTCCCCAAGGAAAGCCAAGAACACACACTTTCACCATTAAGGGACAGGAGAGACCAAAGGGACCAAAAGAAGCCCAGGCAGGGAAGAGGGTGAAAACCAACACACCAGCTTGACTCCCAGGAGGTACACCATGGCATCAGAGCCTAAAGAAGCTGTAGGACTATATAATTTGGATATATAATTGTTGTGATATGAAGAGAAGTAATATTAGTGATGCATTAAGGACATCAATAATCCCTACCATAGCACTGACACAAGGCTCCAGAAAAGGAGGGATACCATAGACTGGACTCCCCTTCCCCACAATTGAAGTATATGAGGGCCCAAGCACATCTGTCGTGTGTAGTTGTCTAGAATCCTTTCATTTCTTTCCCATCTACTTTTCAGGGCAGTGTTTGCTCATGCTAATGCCCATGAAAAAGATCATCTTAAAGGAGATCTAACTCCTAAATCTAAGAGGCTGGCTCCACTGACAGCTACAGTGCTAGTGGGATGGCAATCTCATTCTGGGATCTGTAGGAGACCTTGTGAGAAGATCCCCAATGTCCCGGCAACCACCCTACTCATTTGTGGACCCCTATTAAGGCTCAGTATTAACAATTTCAGTAAGACCAAAGTCTAGAAGCAACCCAAACACCAGCCAATAAGAGACCAGCTACATAAAACCAACAAAGAACCATGAACCCCTAAGGATGGGGATTGTGGCTATAGATAGCTGTGGAATGACTTCTAGGATATTCAGTGGAAAAAAATCAGAATGGAGAAAACATACCTATCTCTTACCATTTAGTTATGGGTTCAGTATACAGCACACATGCTTACATTTAAACATAATGTAAAGACAAACTTGGAAATTTTTAAGAGGTCATCTGTAAGCAAAGAAGGAAATTAAGTTTGGAACCAGAAAATGGAAACTAGGTTTTCTTGACTACGTCATTCTTTCTAGATTTCTTTGTGGAACTATTTTATATAGTCATAAACCAAAATTAAAATCTTACTATATCCTTAAAAGGAAATTCTTCATAAGTGAATATACTTGTATATCTAGCTACACAACTACAAACAGAAAGTATTTGGGGTGATGACATATCTTCTTTATTTATTTTTTATTTGTGTTTTCTTTTGATTCAGGGTCTTGCTGTGTAGCCCATTCTGGCTTCAAGCTTGTGAACCATCTGCCTCTACCTCCAGAGTATCCAGCGAACCCATGATCTTAACAACCAAGCTAAATGTAAACGTGTGTGAATATTTTTCAGCAGTTATATTATTGATGATAATATTGGAACTGGTTAACTACCTATAGCTAGTTGCATGTGTATCAAATGTGTGATTGTGATGGTACATTGAAAAGCAAAATATTTTACATGCTGAAGGAAGGAATAGACATGAGATCAATGAATTAATAGAAAAACCACATGACTAGTTCTAGTTGTAATCTAGAAGTATTTGAATAGATAGATAGTGTATTTTGTCTTTTAAGTAACAAAAATATGTTCTAGATCTGCTATTGAAAAATGTTCTGAAGCCGGGTGGTAGTGGTGGAGCATGCTTTTAATCCCAGCCCTTGGGAGGCAGATGCAGGCATTAGATCTCCGTGAGCTCACGGCCAGCCTGGTCTTCATAGAGCATTCCAGGCCAGTCGGGGTTATACAGAGAAACACTGTCTCGAAAAACCAAAAAAGAAAAGAAAAGAAAAGGTTCTGAAACAATGATAAACACAGTAAACCTTAGCCCCTCCAGACCAGCAGTCTTGGGGAGACGGCTGCTTTCAGACTGGCCCATGAAGTGTGTAGATATCTTCCTTTGTCCAAAAGCAAGGAAGCTATCAAAAGCTCTCAGGACAGTGTCGAAAGGGCTCAGTCTCCAGCCTGAGTGTTTCCATGGGCCAAAGAGAAGTTTAACTGCAGTGGATGGAAGCAAAACATATTTAAGTTCTTCAGTTCATACAGACAATATTTTTAAAACTTAGTCCCTTTGGAAGATGTTAAGGAAATTGACAATTTTATTTATTTTGATACCATTTTAGACTTAGAGAAAAGTTGCAGAAATGGTAGTTTCTCTATTCTCTATCCAGATCTCTCAAATAGTAACATCTTACACTTCAGGGTAAAATTACAGAGTGGAGATTGTCATTGGTATAATGTTATTAACTGGCCTATGAAAGGGCTTTAATTTCCTCCATTTCCCCACTTGTTTCCCCTTTCCCAGGATCCTACATACCATTTACTTTTTTGTCAGTTTGTCATGGTCTTTAATTGTTCGGTTTTTTTCTTTTACTTATTCATTGGAGTCAGTTTTCTCTTTCCACCGTGTGGGTCCCATGGACCAAACTCCAGTCCTCGGGCTTGGAGGCAAGTGCCTTTACCCCCTGAGCTACCTCACAGGCCTTCTTTGTTTGTATTTGGGGGGACAGGGTTTCATGTAGCCCAGGCTGGTCTCAAAGTCACCATGTAGCCAAGGACAACCTTGAACTCCTGGTCCTCCTCCTCTGCCTCCAAGTGCTTGTTTACAGGTGGGAGCTCCCATACCAGATTACACAATACTGGAGACAGAACTCAAGGCTCCACATGTGCTAGGTAAGAACTCTACCAAGTAGAGCTATGGCCCCAGGTTTACTTGGGTTTTCTTTGTGTCCCTCAGTCTGTGACAGTCCCCCAGTTTATCTCCCATTACCTTGACACTTTTTAATTAATAAATTCCATTCATTGATGATGTCATGCATATTTATAATGTATTCTGGTGAGGCTCCTCCCAGCCTCTCTCATTTCTCTCCCACCCCTGTCAACCCCATTCTACCTTACGAATCTCCTTCTCCCATATTCATTCATTCATTCACTCATTCAACTTCTTGTTTTATTTTGTGCCCCACAGAGTTTAACTGGGATATCTGTGTGATCCTAGGTTTGAACTATCCATTAGAGTCTGGTGGGCTCACCAGTCAGCACATGACTGGATACAATGCCCACCTCATTCCAGAATCCGTTAGTCGCTAATAGTGCAGTGGTAGCAGAGTCCTGTGGGTCCCTTCCCATCCACAGCTGACTGCTGGAAAGGCCTTGTTGTGTAGACCCAGGGCCAGTGCACAGCTGCTCTGAGTCCATGGCTTCCATGGCTTCCATGGCCGTGTCCTGCTTGGAAGATGGTATGTCAGGGCCCTTCCCCTATCTTTGGTGCTTACATTCTTTCCACCCTGTCTTCCGCAATGTTCCCTGAGCCTGAGGAGGGTGGTGTAAATGTTTTCATCTAGGGCTGAGTCCTCCACTGTCCTTTTTTCTCAGCATCTTATACCACCATGTGTCTGCATTCACCTCTGTCCACTATAAGCAGAGACTTCCCTGATTACAGCTGAGGGAAGCCTTTGTAGGCACACACAAACGTTAGGGAGGCTGTTTATGCTCTCAGGAATTTGACACTTTTGAAGAATACGGGTTGGGGATTCTATAAACATCGTTGGATGTCTTGGACGGATCTCTTCCCATATGAAGACGGAGGTGTGTAAGCATTTTTGGCAAGACCATCACTAAAGCTACATTCTATCTTTCTCATTGCTTCATATCAGGGTGTCACTGGAGGTGGTATGTCTGGTTACTTGCAATATCATCATATAGCTAGGGTGGTGACTGTCAGTGTGAAGTTACTAATTTTCCTTTGGTAATATGTAATTAGGGGCATATTTTGAGTTTATGCCAATATCCTGTTTTACACACTTTTACTCACTACATTTTAAAAAAATAACTTGATGCTTGCCTAACTGTGGGCTTGCTTATGGTTTCTCCTTCTGTATTTATTCATTGGAATTCCACTCTAAGGAAGTATGTACTGTCTTCATATTCCTCCCTCTCCCTCTCCCCCTCCCTCCCTCTCTCCCTCCCTCCCTCCCTTCCTCCATCCTTTCAATCTCATAATATAAGAAGGGATATTTGTGTTATTCTTTATGTTACAAGCCAACAGTATCATTATTTTCTATCTCAGTTGTTCCTAGATTAGGCCATTAAGTGTTCT